ATTTTGTAATCAGTCAGCAGGCCTGTATAAAGGGCTACGGAAACTCAATAGCTGTGTTTTCATTGCAAATGTGCGCAAAACTTTGTCGATATTCTACTGATATTAACGAAAAACACAGTTTCGCAACTGCGGTGTTTCCATTAAGTAAGAAATGCTATTAAAGTCACGCGTGAATACGTTTGTTCTCGCGATAAGTCATTACAAACATGGCGGCAACGGATGTAAACACATAGCACACRACACTAGCGCTCATCATCAGAGGAGAAGTCGGCGTCTTTTATCGAGTCTTTCCAGCGACAAGTCTCTTATATTTGGGAGCAGCTACGTATGCTGTGTTTTTGGGAAATTGTAGTCAGTGAGTTTACTACTTTCTTTTACTACTTCTGTGATATTACTACTACTTCTACTTCCTGCTATCTTCTTCTTTGTTGTCTTTTTTGCCAGTAGAAACAGCCGGTTGTTGATCATGTGACTCCCGTGATGAGAAAAAAAGTGTTTCTATTGCAGTTTTGCGAAAAACACCAATTTCGATACGGCCGAAAAAAACCCACCTCATCCTAGCGCAAAAAATATTTTGTCGAAATACGTAAATTATTTTCGAAATTGACGTGTTTCCATTGAGCAAATTTATTTTCGAAATTCTAATTTGCGCATTTTCATGGTCGATGGAAACGCAGCTGACTTTTATTTTTTGTTGACATTTGTGTCGTTAACTGAACAGAAGCTAAAATTTGTGAAACAGTGGCTAAAAGCTGAAACTGAAAATAAAAAAAATAATCATAGCTAACAGTTTAAATTAGAAAATTCAAATGAAAAGCTAAAAAATTGTAAAAGCAAACAGCTAAAATGAACAAAACCATAGTGAAAACTTTAATTAGCTAAACTGTATCATTGAGCTAAAATTAGTAATAAGATAGATAAAAACAAAAATGGACAAAACCATAGCTGAAAGCTAAAGTTAGCTAAAATGTATATTTGCAAAATTCTAGACTAAAGCTGAAATGAGCTAAAAGATTAAATTAGCAAAACTTTAGATAAAAGCTAAAGTAACGGCCATCAAAGCTAAAATTACCTTTACATAGCTGAAAATTCAATAATACTTTATAATCAGAAAATCTCATCTAAATGCTAATATTAGCTAAAAATTG